ATTTGTGAAATTGGAAATCTAATTTCAGGAGTAGATGTAATTTCCTAAAAAAAAAAAAGTGGAAATTACATCTAATCAACTTTTTTAAGATTCAACTTCAAGAAACAGATCTTAAGATTATTTATACAAAAATCAGATCATAATTATTATTTTTAAAATGTTCTAATTACTTTTAATTTAAAAACATATATAAATATATATCAATCCCTCGACTAATAACCACACCCACCCAAACCCTAAAAATGTCACCCAATTTTACATACCCAACAATCACAGCCCTTTTTCACTCACTCTCACACAAGCACAATCTAGCAATTCGGGGAACTCGATGGGACGACCACCGCTCGCAGCGGCGATGGTATCACCGCAGCGAGCACTGCGACAATGATTTAATGGGTTTAATGTCACTCTCGATGGTAATGGCATTGTCTTTATGAAGTAGTGGCAATCGATTCTTCCCATTGATGGGGTTGATCGTCACGACCGTTGCAAAAATTAGGTTTTTCGTTTCTCTCTCTCTTTTTTTTTTGATCTTGTGGGTGGCCGGAATCAGAGGTTGATTTGTAGTGTAATGAAAGTGCAGATGGTGGTTGCGGGTTTCAGGATTTAGTTGGTGGTTGTGGTGTGGTGCGGTATTGTGTGGTAAATGTGGAAGATATGGTGAATTTTAGTAGGCGTTGATGGTGGTTACTAGTGCAGGCGATGGTGGTGCGGTTGTGGTGGTTGGAGTTGTAGGTAGAGGTGGTGGTGGTGGGGGTGGGGGTGGGGGTGGTGTGGGAGCTAGCGATTATGAGCTGGGATCAGTGACAATGTGTGTAGTAGTGGTATTATTTGTAATGAAAGTGTGGTGGTATCAGTTTTTTGGTTTCTAATTGCTATTTGTGAGTTTCAGATTGTAAGGCAGTGGTGCAGTGATATGTGATGTAGGTACAGTGTGCTATGTGCAGCGGTGTGATGGTGGCTCTGGTGTTGTGCAGTGGTGCTGATCGGTTGTTGTGAGGTGGTAGTGCTAACGTCTTGTCGTGAGATGGTGGTGTTTTTATACGATGTGTTGATTTGTTTGAGATTGTGTTATTGTTAAGAGGTGGTGGCGGTTCTAGCGGCGACGGTGCTAGTGCTGATATGAGTTGTGAGGTGTTGGTCACAAGTGTTGGTTGTGACCACAGATTATTTGGTTGTTTGTGATCATTAAATTGATTAATATGTGACTGATAAACAATATTCGACCAATAAAAAGGATAAATTGTGACCAAAAAGTAATGTGTGACCTAAAAATTTGTTAATTTGTGACCGATAATTTGACAATTTGTGACTGTTTATTAAGTTGTGACTTATAATATTTGTGATTTGTGATTGATAAATAAGTTGTGACGTATAAAATTTTTTATTTGTGACTGATAAATAAACTATGACTTATAAAATTTCTGAATTGTGACTATAAAATAATTTGTGACATATTAAAATTGTGATTTGTGACCTATTAATAATATGTGACCAATTATATGAAATTTGTGATTAAATTATANCTTGTAATTTATGACAAATTAATAATATGTGACCAATTATATAGAATTTGTGACCAAATTATATGAAATTGTGACCTTAATATATTTAAGTAATTTATTTATAAATAAAATTTTAAAAAAATATGAGATTTGAAATTTTAAAGCTTAAAAAATCTGAAATTTGAAATTTTAAACCTTATTTCTTACATTTGAAATGGGTGAAACTTAACCTCTTAATTGTGAAATTTTCCTGAATTTTTTTTTTAAAAAAATAGGGAAGATTAATGTGGTTAAGTTCCACAAATTTCAAATTTAAGATATAAAGATTTAAAATTTAAAATCTTAGACTTTTTCCAATTTTGTTTATAAATTAATTAATTAAACATATATTTTATTAATTAAATATATTAAGGTCACAATTCCATATAATTTGGCCACAAATTTTATATAAATGGTCACATATTATTAATTGATCGCAAATCACAATTTTTATATGTCACAAATTATTTTACGATCACAATTCAAAAATTTTATAGATTACAATTTGTTCATAAATCACAAATAAAAATGTTTTACGGTCACAATTTGTTCATTGATCACAAATAAAAAATTTATACGTCACAATTTATTTATCAATCACAAATCACAAGTATTATAAGTCACAACTTATTAGACAGTCACATATTATCAAATTATTGGTCACATATTAACAATTTTTAGGTTACACATTATTTCTTGGTCATAAATTATAGAATTTTAAAGTCACATTTTTATAGTTAGTCACGAACCATATAATTGGTCATATACACCAAAACACCTCACTCCCGATCCACCACCAATACTTGGTCACAAATCAACCAAATTATTGGTCACAGACACTATCCAACCGTCGCCACTACCACAATACCGCCACCACCAACAAAGCCACTACCACTAGATTCAATACATTCCTAACAAAAATCATCACAACAACCCCCTGCCATCGTCGCCACCAGCCACCACCGCCGCCACCACTACCATTTTTGCAACACCACCACTCCACACCAATAACACCACATCACATATCGCCATTCACCACCGCCACCACCTCTAAAACAACACCACACACCGCACACACCACCGTCACACCACACCACACACAGCACCCACTACACATTCCGTACCTAACCCCAACCATCGAACAAGCACCACATCCAAACCAACCATCGCACACGACACCATGCCCAACCCAATATGGGCCCGTGATCCACACATACTTTCAAAGTACAAGCCACAGATACCGAAGTGAGCCACTGAGCACCGCTCACTGCTAGAAGAAGAGTGCTGCTGTGTGCCACAGTCTGAGCTGGAGCAACGATATGGCACTTCGCACGATAGCACTCAGTTAGCCACCAGATGCTGCTTCTGCCGGTGAAGAGGAAGATAGAGTGAGAAGAGAAGAGAAAAGAGAGTGTTGGTGAGAAGAGATGAGGAAAATTCTAGGGTTTTGCCGGTTTGGGATGAAAAATCGTATAATTCATATTCAATATTTAAAAATGAAATATCTGATTTTTTAAAAGACAAACCTTATATCTGAAATTTGAAATTGAATCTTGAAAACTTTAGTTTAGTGTAATTTCCACAAAAAAATATGGAGCTACCGAAATTTCGATCATATTTTGTGATATCTGATAAAATATTATGATCTATTATTTAATTAAACAGACCATGATCTCAATAAAACAGAATCACATCAAGTCACTGTTACAAAACACAACATGTAGATCACATCACATGTTTTAATCATAAATCACACATTTAATAGATCGAAAATTATTTATTAGTTACAATTTATTTAATCAACTACTCACAATTACTTTCATCTCCCACCATCAACACTGTCCAAATCATGCCGCTACCTCACACCACCTCCACCTCCAATGCATCACTACCCCAACTTCCGCCACAATTAACAACCAACAGACTTCACATTCGTCTCAAAATCATCGCTACCTACAATGCACCACCATCACCCAACATCAATTTACAACCACAGAGAACAACCCACGACCACGACCAACTCAAATGCAACATGATCTCTACCTTTAACTCAATTTACGTTTGAGTCGAGTCAGCTCAGAGCTCGTTTGTATGAGCCAAAGCTCAACTAAGCCTACATAATGAGATTTAGCCAGAGCTTAAGTCAGCTCGCGAGCTGCAATAACCAAAATACGGGCTGACCCCGCATGTGGGCTTGTGCCACCCATCTTTTTAATCCACTTGCAAGATTAATTTTTTTAATTTGTAGATTAATGACCGCTTAATTTGTAAAATGCAATAACTTGCACAAGTGCTTTGACAGCTTGTAAATTAACAATCAATTTTTGTATATTTGAGTAGAAGAAAATAATAATAATAATAAATAATCAAAAAACTCGTGAGCTTGCTCGAACCAAAGCCCGGGCCAAGCTCCATTATTTAGGAATGTGATAAGCTCGAGCTCCGCTCAAGCTATTTTTTGACGAGTTGATATCGAGCCTCGAGCTTGGGCTCGCGAGCCTGCTCAATTCGATTAGGCTCATTGCCACAGCAATGGGGACCCCATACGCAAATGTTTAGAAAGTAGAAGTGAGTGGTTGTAGTAGGGTGTAAAATATGTTTTTAAATTTAAAAAAATAATTATAACATGATTTTTGAAAAAAAAAATAATAGTTAGTACCTAATTTTAGAAAATTAAAATATAAGGTTTAAATACAAATTTATTTTGAGAATTTGATTGATACCTAACTATGAAACCGAAAACTAAAATATTCTAGGTGTTTCTAATTTTCCCGTTTCAAATTAAAAAATGGATAATCGGTAGCAATGAATGGTGCGATATTAATTCATAATATGTGTATTGTACATGCTTATTTATGCTTTTAATCTTGATAAATTATGATTAATCTAATTATTTGAACTAATTGTTACCTAATTGTGAATTTATGTGATTTGTACGAAAAGATCAAGCTTGAGTGCAATTGATGCCAAAAAAAAAAAAAATGGTGATTTTGAGCTTAATTGGAGATTAATTTAGATACTTGAAGATCATACATGGTTGAAATCCATCAATTGGCAGTAGTTTTGGATGCAATTTAATGATTTCATGAGATTGAGAATAAAAAGATGACAGATAGAAAGCTTGGGGACCAAAATGAAAGTTTTGAAAAATTGAAGGAACAAACTACAAAAATTGGAAAATGGACCGTAGGTCAACCACGGTTTGCAAACCAATGGCCAGCCTGTGGCACTTGGAAATCCTTGTATGTCGCGGGTGGCTAGCAAGTTTGCAACCCGCGGCGTAGCCGCATGACCTCTCCCGTTAGGGCACTTTTTTTTAATACCTTTTTTAATTTCTTTTGTTCTTTATCAAGTTGATCTTTCGCGGGAACTCTTATATGAGATATAATATTAGGGTCCGTTTAATAGATAAAGATAAACATGAATTCCAATTTCATGTTAGTTGGAAAATAAAAATCTATCCTACCCATATGAATTCATTTTCTATGAAAATAAAGAAAATGTAGCTTAAAGTGGTTGTATCTTGGAATTCGATTTCCATTTTAAAGTGTAATCAAACCACCAAAATGAAATTTGTTTTTCTCGAATGTGACATTTTCCATGAAAAATGTGGCGACCAAATAAGGCCTTATATAAATATTTAATCTAGATAAAAAAAGATTCCACAATTTGAAAATTAGAGACAAATACATTGAAGAAAAGCAATAAATCAAGTTATCAAGACTAGGGTTTGAAGCATTGATTTGGGTAAGTAGAGAATCTTGGTGCATGATTCATCTATTTCTCTATATCTTAATTCAAAATTCAGTGATGTACTCAATAATTATTCTTTATTTTTCTTCATTTAGTATGTGTAGCTAAACTTTTTGGTACGGGAACAATGTAGTTTATTGCGACCATTTTATTCAATTTTCAATATTCTAATTCTCAATTTTATACGTGTTGATTTTATTTATGGTATTTAATACTTGAATTACTTGACAAATAATTCAATGATCTTGTGAATTTGTAACGAGTCGATAGGTAAGTTATAGGTTTGGACCACATGGTAGAATCCGGGAACTGGTATAAAAATGTAAAAATATATTTTTTAGTTAATGCGGTCATTACATAAATTATTAAAAATTTAATTCATTTAATTAAGGTGTATCCTAATTCATATATAGATATAAAGTGGACTTATTTAAATAGAATCAATTTGATTTTGAGTGAGGTAAATTGAATACGTTAAAAAAATTTGATCAAACACAACATTAAATTAAGAATCTTGATTAGAGAATTAGAGGTGATCAATAAACAAAATTGTGTACCTTAAGATCCCTTTTCATACCTGAAACCCTAATTCGATTTTTCTGTGCAAATTCGATATATTAAGTTAGTTAGTATAATTTAGATCAACAATCAACAATCATAATTTGTTTTCGTCAAATAAAAGTGTAAATAGTAATCTATGAATAAATAATAGTCTATGTTGGAACGATTAACTGGACTCAGACATTCACTATATTATTTATTTGATATCGTTCATTTACGATAGAAAAACGCAACAATTCCAACTAATGAAAAATAAATAAAAACTTATGCTAGCTATAATTTGAGGGTCGGGAGGGATGGGAGATGATAAGTTGCAATTAAGTCCCAAGTCGTTAAAATTACCAGAAAAGACGAAATTTACAATGCTTTCGAAATTTGAAAAGGTGACAATTCTAACCAAAATCTGAAAAATAAAAAATAATAATAATAAAATGAAGCGTTACTATCCATATACGAACATTTTGAATTTTGCATGAAGAAATATTTTTATCGTCAGGACAGGCAAAGGAGTATTAAGTTCTTGTTTGATAGGGATTTTTGGGGGAAGAATTGATTTTTAAATAGTGATATGATGGGAAATGTGTGGTTGAAAAAGAAGAAAAAATTATTGATGTGATGAAAAATATTATTTTGTTGAACAATATGTGGTTGAAAATGAGAATTGATTTGAGAATCAATTCTCAAATAAAAAACAAACACCCCCTAAATAAAAATAACACATTGAACGACGAGATTTTTTTGGGAGATTCTGAATTAGTCCAAATGTTACGTCTTTCGGTCTTTGTCATGTGAACATGTCGGAATGGATATGATTCTATTAATTTTGTTTCTAAGAGAATTGTATCGAACCATGAACCAATAATTTTTGGGTAATGAAATCAAATGGTTTTTTTTTTTTTTTTATAATTAAACAAATGGTTTTTTTTTTTTTTTTTATAATGGAATCAAATAAAATTTTAAAGATATGGAACCAAACTGAAAGTACCATTTGGTTATGTTTGTTTGGTTATAGGTTCATTTCTTAAATTTTCCAACTCGCACCATATTCATTAGTAATATATACCAAAAAAATAAGAAATAAATAAAAAAGATATCAAATATTTATCAAAGATTGCCTAATGACTATAGTTATAATTTGAATACACAAATCAATTTCAATTCACATAACAAAGATTGCCTAATGACTATTAACAAAGATTCACAAAATTAATTATAGCAGTTTCGATGGCATACCCGACAATAAAAGATGAATCATGAAAAGCTTTCACAGTCCACTTTTACAAACAATCATTAATTATTTGATTTTCGATGAATGTTTATTGAATTTTTGTTCTATTTGTGAAGAACACGAATAAGTCATCAAATAGTCAGGTGAAAAATAGTTTAAAGGCTTTTTAAGTGGTTGACCAATTCCATATTTTGATTTTGAAAGAATTTCCTCCACTTACGTGATGAAATGAATTGTCAACATGCCGTGATGTTGTGTAAATTGAAAATGAGTGAAAGAAAAGTTATTCAAATGAATACAAAATTAGGGTGTACACAATTAATGAGTTGTCTCAAATGACCCAGAACCGATTGATGAACTATCTCTAATGAATATAAAATTATTGTCTTCATTATTTAATTTATATAAGAAAGTAAAATGAAAAATTAAGTTTCTTTATGATTTTGACTCTCGATTCTAGAAATAGAACTAAACCAAAACCAAACCAAAATTAATTGATTCTTCATTTGAAGAACCAAAATCTTTTTTTTTTGTTTGTATAACTGAACTTAACTGAATTGAACCGCTCCATTTTCTTTGATTTGGTTTGGTATAGACATTTTGTTCGTCAATATAAGCATAAATAAAAATTGTATAGTATAGGTGAGGGCAGCTAAGGATGCGATTCGTCCTTTTTTTTAAGTATAGTTAAGTCTGGTTATTATAAAGTATGGAAATTGCCCCCACTAGCTTTTTTCAATTTGGAGGACAATGGGTAACGGAATATGCAACTGTAAAATTGAAAATTAAATTAAAGTTTAATAACTTAATTGATATAAATTAAAATTTAATGGCTGAATTGAGATTTCACTAAAAGTTCAGTGGCCGCAAATATAATTACCCTACACTATAAATCATTAGGAGTCGATCGGGCGAATAATAATCCCCCACGTCAGCGCATGCATAAGCATGCTCTATATATATATATATATATATATATATCACCCACCATTCGCCTCGGTCTCTCTTTAATGCCGCATCCACAAGGAGAATCTCTCTCTTTCTCTTGCCGAACTAGTTCCTTAATTCGCTCGAATCCGAGCCCTATACTGGTAGTATATTCTTTAGTTGATTTCAATACTAAGTTGAAACGGGTCAAAAGTAGAGTTGTTTCAGTTTTCCAATCGATCTGTTGAGCTTCGGGTAATTTTTTATTCAATTTATTTTCATTTGAAAGCTCGATTTGGGATTTTTTTGGATCTGATCATTTTATGTGCGTGGAGGCTTGTTCTGAATTGCAGTTGTGTTATGCTGGAAATCGAGTTCTAGATGATTATTTTGTTCAGTTTAGGGTTTGTATAAATTTGGGGAAATGTGTTTTGTAATAAGATTTAGTTTCTCGAGCTGGATTATTTTTGAAGTTTTGAATTATAGCTGGAAAGTTGTTTAAAGATGTGGTTTTTGGGAATTGAGGAAAGACATAACTTTTTGCTTTAGTTGTCTACAGGTACGTTAGCGTAAATTGAAATTTCATGAGCCCCAATAATTTCTGACTGTTTATTTTCCTTTCGTTTCTGATTTGTTGCGTTTATGCTTTATGTAGAATTTTGGACTTAGTTAATTGGATCATCTTTGAAGTCTTCTCTTTCTTTCTTTTTCCTCCTGGCCGCCTTAATATTCGGTGTTGTACAAATCTCTTCGCATTCCTTGTTTATTTATCTGGAATTTTTCAGCTGTTTAAATTCGGATGTTAGTTCCTGTCATTGTTGTAAAAGGGCGCAGCTAGACTCACAATTCTTTTATGTTAAGACTCGGGGCTGTATATTTCTCATAATTTTCGTCCTTAATAACCTGATAACTCCAATAATCCAGTTGTTGAATAAATTGCAACCTGTAATAATTCTTTGGAGAAAAAAAGAAGTAATTTGTAAAACATTGCTTATTTCATTCATGTATTCAATGTTTTCTTTCTTGTTTTCCTCCTCTTACCCCAAATTTTAATTAGGTTTTTTGTTTTCCCCAAAAAAAATCAATTTTGAAGTTCTGTAAACTCTAAAATTTCTGCACTATTCTTTTCATTTAACTTTGCTGATAATATGTTGATATATGCTGGAGTGTACTGAAATGCAATAAGATATACTGGAAATATGCATGCCGGGACGGCCGCCCCTTCCACCCACATATAAGAGAACTTGCATAAATTTTGCTGGATTTAGATAAATACATATTATTTTTTCGATTTTATAAGTCTTGGTTTATGTTCGGTGCTTTGACACCGAGATAGTAGGCATCATGCCTTGGGTTATGACACTTAATAACTATTGTGTCTATTGAGACTAATACAACACATTAGCTGTTTATGCTCTTCTAAAGAATTTAATATATGTACGGGATTGATTCGTATTTATCTATAGAAAGGCTGGGCTTGATTGTGGGTTATGTTGGCCCATATACTTCAATATGTGGTCTCTACTGTCGAGCAGACTTTCTGAACCAACTCTTCATATCAAACTGACTGGTTTAAACAAACTTTCTGATGTTCAAAAGATATATCTGTACCAGACAGAAACTTAAGTTTTGAGCTTTGTAATTGAGGCTACCTGATAAATTTGCCATCTTCACTTTGATGGATTTTTGAAATTTTTGGTAGTTTGAACTTTGTATGTCTCTCATCTCTTAGTCTATGTGTGTTCAGTGCCCTTTCTAGATTAACAAGTAAATTTGTGTAGTTGCATTTTTTATTTTTTTGTGGAAATTCTAATTTAAATTTAAGCTGTTGTACTTTAGTTGTCTGTTTTTATAAGGAGCATCTATACTTTCTTGCTTTATTTTGTTTATATTTGATGGTACTTCCGATTCTTCTGCAGTTGTGGAGAGGAAAGAGTTGCATGTTTGTATTTGTGCTGTCGTGTATTAGTATCTGAACATGCCTAAGGCAAGGCGAGAGCGTTCTGTGTCCTTTGATAGGTCAAGGGGATATCCTTTTCCCTGCAGTTCCAGTCGTTCAAAAGCATCATTGCGGAAAAACCCTTTAGAGGATGATGAGAATATGAAAGAATGGGAAGATGCCCGATGTCCAGTCTGTATGGAACATCCCCATAATGCAATTCTACTTTTATGTTCGTCTCATGAGAAAGGCTGTCGCCCTTTCATGTGTGACACAAGCTACCGCCACTCAAATTGTTTGGACCAGTTTCGTAAGTCATTTGGTGAAGCTAAACCAGTGATGCAAAGACCAGAAGACACACCAATCTCAATCTCTCATGTGATGACATCTGCCACAACAATATCAGAATCAACTGTCCCTGATTTGGAAGGTGAAAGAAGTGTGGAAGGATCTATGCCCGTGGAAGGCAATTCAGTTGATAGCCAAGAGAAGCCAAATCTGATATGTCCTCTTTGCCGGGGCCAAATAAATGGGTGTACTGTTGTGAAATCCGCTCGTCATTTCATGAACTCAAAATCAAGGAGTTGTGCAAGTGAAACATGTGATTTCAGTGGCAATTATACAGATCTTCGGAAGCATGCAAGATTGGTCCATCCACTTGCTAGGCCAACATTAGCTGACCCAGAAAGGCAGCGTAACTGGAGGAGATTAGAGCGGCAGAGGGACCTTGGAGATTTACTTAGCACACTTCATTCATCCTTTAGCGAAGAGAGGATCGAGGACAACAGCACTTTGACCATTGATGATGGTGGCTGGCTGACGGTATATTTCCTCGTTCGATTTATCCGACCAGGAAATACTGCAGGTCGTTCCAGTACTTCAAGAACTCATGCTCAAATCAGAAGATCATCAAGACGACTTCGGGGTGAAACCCCTGATGGAGAAACCCATTCCAGGGATGATGTTGACGAATCTTCCGACAGCGGGCAAAGCCAAGTGGTGCATTATGAAAGGAGGCGGCGGAGGCGTCGATCAACACCAGAAAACTAGTAGTTACTGCCCGCATATGTCAGGGGTTTGCATGGTTATTTTTCTTGAAACTTTACAATCCTTTAGACTTATTTATAACTCGTCCAGCTTATTTATTTACAAAGTTACCTTGGTCTCCGAGAACAAAATATGAAAAGAACTTTAAAAATAAATAAAAAATTTGATTATAATATTATTGACGGATCACAATAGGCCATGAACACTTAACACATATTTATTCTTATTTATAATAAAATAAGTTTAACAACTCTCTATAACTAGTGTTTATCCAAAAAATATATGACAATTATCAAATAACAAATTAAAAGCCTTGTATTTATCCTTCGGTTTGAATTTGACAATGTTATCACTCCAAGATTTTTCGATCTCCTTATTGCTCATTTGATTCTCATCATTTCTGTTAACAAGTTGTATGACGTTTTTAACATCTGCAAATTGTGCTGAGATTGAAAGCACAATTTGGTTCGAAAAATTGAGCAATGATTTTTATCTTCATTCTTGCGAAGATATGTCATATGTGTATATAAACATTTCAAGTGCTTCACATACAGCATGTGTCGTGTCTAAGCCTATTATAATGATCCAACAATGAATGAGAGAACTTTCACCTTGCAATAATTTTATTTATTCCCTTAAGGCAACTAAAGTGAGTACTCGACCGTAAACTTTAGGGCATCGTGGAATTAGTTGAGGTGCGCGCAAGTTGGCCCAAACATCCACGGTTATTAAAAAAAAAA